GGCTGCTTCCCGAGCTTCTCTCTGTTTGCGGCGGATTTGGGTCCTAATCTGTAAGAGTGTTCGAGGAACAACGTAGTCAGGTGTGGCCTTGTTGCAGCCAGTCTTGGCAAGGTCATCTGCTGCCTCATTCCCCAAGATACCGACATGACTAGGTATCCATAGGAATGTCACAGGACGGCCTTCATCCTGAAGTGTGGATGTTAACCCTCGTATTCGGAGGATGAGGTCCTTATTTTCCCCAGATCCAAATGCGATCCCGTCGAGAGCAGACCTGGAATCGCAGCAGACAAGCAAGGGGCAGAAACCATCTGCTTCTTCCTCAGCGAGAAGGGCAGCAAGGAGGGCTATTAGTTCAGCCTGAGTGGAGGATGCCCCGTCAGAAACTCTGAGAGACAGTTTGATAGGCTCAGGGGCATGAGGACGGGAGATGTAGACACCAGCCCCGGCCCTACCTGTAGCGGGGTCAACAGAACCATCAGTGTAGAGGACGACCCTACCTGGGGACCAGTGAGCGATCCTGGAGAGGTGGTATTTGCAGAGAATAACAGGGTTCACCTGGGATTTCGGGAGCGGTCCACCGAGGGCAATCACTTCAGGTTGAAAATCCAGCCAGGGAGAAGGAGACGAACCAACAGCAGGGGTGACAACAATATCAGGCAGGAGGTCGTGTTCCTGAAGGGCTCGGATGAGTGACCCTCGCCACTGTCTTCTAGATGGAGGTCGGTCTCGGACAGCAGTAGTCAAGTTGGTTTGGACATAGTTGCCCCTAGGATCCCGTAGAATGGAAACGGCAGTTTTTAGGTAAAACTCCTGGACACGATCCTGTAAGGGGGAAAGACCAAGTTCGGTATATAGAGAAGTAGAGCGTGTCCACTGAGGAGCCCCAAGGATGATACGAGCAGCTTTCCTCTGGATAACTTCGAGACGGTTGACAGCAGTCCGACTAATGTTGACGAGGGCAGGGGCGGCGTAGTCGACACAGGAACGGACAAAAGACTTGTACATGGTGAGAAGTACAGGGATGCTGGCACCAAGGGAACCCCTGCACATGGTAGAGAGGGGAGCGAGACGCCGAAAACATATGTCTCGAAGATAGCGGACTTCAGGGATCTGACAACGTGTGCGAGTTACATACACACCCAGGTATTTTGTCTCATTAACCCAGTCCAAGGGCGTTCCTGATAAGAAAAGGGGTGGAGGTACAACACGACCGTGCCACATGGCTTTTGTTTTCGCAGTTGAAAGAAGGAAACCAAGTGAATCACACTCTCTGGAGACCAGATCAAGGGCTTCCTGCATGCTGAGGTAGTCAGGGGCTTGGAGGAGGACATCGTCGGCATATCCTGAGTGGACAACTTCTGTCGGCCACGGGAGTGATGCAATGGAGTGCATGAGAGTGTTAAACAAGGTGGGACTCAGGACTCCACCTTGAGGGGTGCCGAGGTTCATTTCTTGAACAGGAGACATAGAGCCTTCAACGCGAACCCGGGCCTGACGTCCAGTGAGGTAAGAGGCGATCCATTGTAGAAGTCTCCCTTTAACCCCTAACCGTGCAAGTTCAGCTAAAATGAGGGCAGGCTGAGCCGTATCAAAGGCTCCCTTGATATCAAGGAAGACGGAGACGCGGGCAGTCTGATTGCAATAAAAGGAAGCAATGGAGTGTGCTGTGCTGCGATGTTGAATGAAACCATTGAGGGAGTTGTGGAAGCCGCCTATGGTGTGAAGAAGGCGACGATGGAGTATCCTCTCCATCATCTTGCAAACACAGGAGGTAAGACTAATGGGTCGATATTTCCCAGGATCTCCCGGCTTAGGGATGGGGATAATAGTGGCATTTTTCCAGTTGGACGGGAGAACCCCATGTTCATAAGACATATTGTAGAGAGCAAGCAAGGGGCCGTTAAGAATATTAGTACAGGCGTTGAGGACGGAGTAGGTTATCTGATCATCCCCAGGAGAGGTGTCTTTTCTAGAGCGACGAGCACTGTCAAGCTCGAACTGTGTGATGGGATGATCAGTGGGGGCAGGGGAGGTAAGAGCAGCACGAACAACAGGCTCAGACGCATCGATGCGGGCCTGCACTGCCTCCTGCATTGGATCTGGAAGTGCCTCTGGGGAGGAAGCTCGTGCCCAGTCCTCCATTAAAGAGCAGGCAAGGGAGGCGGGATCAGGGTGGGGAGGAGGCCTCCGTCGAGTACCCCGTATAGCATTAATCCGATTCCATACATAAGAGGGTGACGACTGGAACGATAGAGACCCCGTGAAGGATAGCCAGTCCGCCTCACGTATCCGACGGCGCTCCTGAGTTGCAAAGGAGCACCAATTTTTGAAGTCTTCCCAGTCCTCTGGAGACCGAGACCTCCGTATGGCAGAGTGGAGATCACGGGTTACCTGCCGGAGATGTCTCATGGCAGGGATACGATACCAGTAGTTGGTGGCACTTCTGGGGTGACGGGGAGGGCGTGGAGGGGTAGCGCGATTGACAGAGTCATACACGGCATCAACAAAATCAGCGCTGTAAGAGTCAAGGGACTGAGGGACAACATAGGAATCCGCCCAGGTAGAAAGGTATTGGGTAAAGGAAGGAACAGCATCTTGTGTGAGACGAAGGCGAGGGGATCGATAAGGAGTTGATGTCGGGGCAGAGAAGGAGAGCCTGAGATGGGTAGTAACGGCAAGATGGTCACTATACAGAGCAGGCTCGGTGCAGACGGTAGGATGAAAGGAAGTATGACCGTTCAATAGTAAGCCAACATCAAGGAAACTATGGGGGAGGCGAGTAGGATCGTCAGGACAAAGAAAGCGAACATCATCATCCCCATTAAGAAACTGTGAGAGATGTGATCCATTAAGGGTACATGGAGTGGGATGATCCGGAGTAAGAGTGGGATGGCGGGCATTAAAGTCGCCAAGAACAATAGTGGGAACCCCATCATGGAGGTCGTGAAGAACCTGGGGGTCCAGAGAATTACTCTTGAAATGAACATTGACTACACGAAGGGTCCGGTCACCAAGAGTAAGGGAGACAGAAAGTAATTCAGACGGGGGTCCATGTGAGTCAGGTGAAGGGAGACGAACAGATGGAATGGTGTTACGCACAAGGGTGAGGAGGCCACGAGCCTGCCCACGGTACCGAGGCAGGGTGTAAACAGAATAGCCAGAGAGGCGGAGTGGAGTAACATCGTCTGTGATGGTTTCCTGAAGTAGAGCAACATCTACTTGATGGGAGAGCACAAACTGGGCGAGGTCTGTCCGGCGAGGTCTAAGTCCCTGGATGTTCCATTGTAAGAAGAGGAGGGAACGGCCTCCGGTGTGAGATGAGTCGGAGGGGCTAGACAGGGCTCCAGAGGAGGTACCAAATTCTGTTGAGAGAAATGGAGAGGGAGGAGTGGGAGAGCGAGGGATGGATCCTCCATCTCGGGAGATGGAAGGAGGCGGGTCATCAGGGCTTGCAAAGCGCGCCCCTGTTGGGTCAGGGTGTCCAGAATGAGTTGTTGTTGCTTCTGCAATGTCGCAATTGTTTTCACAAACAAGTCGAGTTGGGTTGAGAGAAGGTTGATTTGCTTGGAGTGGCGATCCAGACGGAGAGTGATTGTTTCCATAGAACCAACTTGGTGTACCTGTGCATGAGCTGGAGGTGGCGGCGAGGATTGCCGAGGGCCCGACTGGGCATGTGGTGGTGGTAGCGACGGAGAGGGACGGTGAGGGTTCAGTTGAGTAAGAGGTGGTGGTGCTGGTGAGAGACAGCGGGGGTCCGGGTGGGCAGGAGATGGTGGTGACTGTGTGGCAGGGCCGGCAACGACCTTGTTCCAAGAACGGTAGGGAGAGGGAGGGAGGGGAGAAAGGATGGGTGGTAGGGGTGATGGAGGGGGTGGTAGAGGAGAGGAGATCAATGGGAAATCCTTGGTGGATGGAAGAGGCGGTGGTGGATAGGATTGAGGTTTGGTTGACAGGGGCTTCGTCAGAGACGAGGGCGGTGGTACAAGGTAAGTTTTCCCCGGGCGAGTGCCAGGACGCTGTGGGCAATTGGCATTCCAGGCGTGGTGACTGCCATGGCAATTGACGCACCGTGGAATAACTGGGATTTTGTTCTGAATTTTCGATTTGCATATTCTTTTACTTACTTTTATCTTCTTCGCCACTGATCGGCTCGTTAGCCGCTTGGGCGATCGGTTACGTCTCTATCACGCACTGTTGGCAGGTACCGGGCATGCACCGGCTCCTGAATGTACCTGAACCCGATCCAGTGTTGGTCAAGTCTGGTCTTGAAAGAGCTCACACTCGGTGCCGTCACAACACTTTCTGGCAGATTGTTCCAAGAGTTCACAACTCTCACTGTGATTCGAGAATCTTATGAAAGTGATAGAGACTGGGATGAATGAATGAAAATAAAAACTGGATCCCAAGAGAGATACAAAACCTTGGAGGATTGGTAAAAACAGCCCGAGAATATTTAGAGTGGAGTGTGGTCGCCAACCCTCAGATATGACTCCCAGGATCCTTTGATTAATTAATGAGTAAAGTACATGGTGGCCTAAGCGATAGAACCCTATATACAATTGTAATACTTCACTAGGTATCTAACACATCACATTCAATGAACTGCATATCACAAAATATTTTATTATTGAATATAATTATACTGTTACTGATAACCAAGCCTAATCAAAGGACCCAACTGGCAATAAGCCTTTATTTGTTACTGATCAGGTGTCTTTTTTAGTTACAGGTGTAATATCTTTTAGTTTTGTTAAGATTCTCGTTATATTATTCAGTACATGTGTTGTAAAAAGAGTATTGCAATAAAAAAAAAACATTACATCGTGCTTGGACTAAGACAAAAAATGGATTTTTTAATTATAAATATTTTATCCTTCCTATTAAAGAGAACAATGAACAACTTCTATAGCAAAAACTTCATTAATAGAGTTATAAGGTAGTTTGTATTAGTTATCCCTCTAGTGGGTGGCCATCAGGTAAATAAAGTATATCAGGTATTCAAGTATTCTATTGTAGTGTTAAAGTGTACAGTTATCAATTACCACTTAGACCACCCAGCACCGTGTAGTTACTGGTTACTAAAAGTGGTTGAGGAATAGAGGTGTAACGGGAGGTAAACACACAGGTAATTGTGCTCAGGTGATGATTTGCTATGTCATTTTTTTATCATATGTTCAGGTGTGTAGATTTGATCACTGTAGGTGTGTGCTCTGTATATATACTGTTTTAATAAAGAACATATGAAACTGGAGCATACATTGACACGCATTATAATTTTATAACTATTATACAGGTGCACAGAGTAACCATAAAAATGAACATTATACAAGAATCATCTTACTGTATCTACCTAACGTCACCAAACAAATATAGCATAATGTTATAGCGTTTATTAAGTGTTCAGGGCAATCAGGTCAAAATATCTATCCTAGGTTGGGTTAGGTTAGGTTGTCTAGATTCGATTTTATTCTAGGTTGTGGATATTTTGCCATGGCTAATTAAGTTCCTACCAACACTATTTTACCTTGAGTGCACTCTGATTGGCTAATCGTCCATTACCAGCGAACAACGCGAGAACTATATTTGACCGTGACTCTGGCAGCATTTAGAATTTATTTGTCGTGAGTCGATCGTGTAGCTACAAACATACCTAACCATATTTCTGTTGTGCATGGAACCTACTAACAAAAATAGAAGTAAAGATTTGTTTTAAGTAGAACAAGGAATTTCATATTTATATTTATATAGGGAGAAAGCAAAAAAACTATTAAGTTTCTGGTGCAAATTTATATTTTATGACAATTTTAACCAATAAGACTTCCCCAATTACCAATAATACTGGTTGTTAAAAGTGGGCAGTAGAGGGAAAATGTGGAGTCAAATATTAAAAAGAACACCAAACATGCCTCTGAAAACCTTACCTAACTTAATGTAATACAAAAATTGATATCATTTGTTAACAGTTCATTTCTGGAAAAAAGAATTACATTTATGAATTCAGCATAAAATTCTACATTTGATAGACAAATTTTTAACAAAATTGAATACCAGTACAGTTTGAATCTTGGGAAAGACCCGTAATTTATTTCGAATTGCTTGTGTTAGTAAGACCGTTATATATAAGCATATAGGTATTTATATTTAAGTGGTAAGTGTAAATTCCAAGTAAAAATTCTAACAGCAATTGTCACTGAACGACCCTGAGGTATCAATACTTTTCTAACCGAATACAGTACCATGATTGTTTGAAAGTATTCAGTGATGGCGATGATGGCAAGTTATTTCGGGAAATTAAGAACCAAGCGGACTGTGAAGAGCTGCAGAAGGACCTCTGTGGGCTCCAGGAATGGTCGAAGGAATGGTTGAAGGAATGGCTCTGAGTTCAATGCACGAAGTGCACCTGTACCAACGGTAAGGAGGCGTATCATATGTCCCAACGGGATGAAGAAAATGTACTAGTTGAGACTGTGTGTGAGAAGGACCTAGGTGTGTATGTTGACAATGAGCTGAAGTTCTCGGGCCATTGTGAGAAGAAGGTAAATCAGGCAAATAAATTATTGGGTCTTATAAGAAGGTCGTTCAGATATCTAGACGGTCCGTCCCTCGTGACGATCTTCAGGAGTGAAGTGCTTCCCCATCTGGAGTACTGTCACCCCATCTGGTCCCCGAGATATGCTAGGGACTGTCAGTTGGTTGAAAATGTTCAAAGGAGGGCCACCAAACTGGTGCCTGCACTTCGGCACCTCAGCTACCCTGAGAGATTGGAGCGCCTGAACTTGCCTAGCTTATACTACAGACGGGCAAGGGGGGACCTAGTTGAGGTGTATAAGCATCTCAGGGGGCACTACTCAGTTGAGTGTCCTTACTTGGAGCTGGCGGACGCTCGCCCCACAAGGGGTCACAGCTCAAGATTGAAGAAGCCGCAAGTCCAGAAAACCGTGAGGGCAAACTTTTTCGGAGTGAGGGTTGTAAACTCTTGGAACAATCTACCAGAGAGTGTTGTGACGGCACCGAGTGTGAGCTCTTTCAAGAGAAGACTTGACCAACACTGGAGCGGGTTCAGGTACATTCAGGAGCCGGTGCATGCCCAGTATTTGCCAACAGTGCGTGACAGAGACGTGACCGATCGCCCGGGCGGCTAGCGAGCCGATCTTTTGGTGAAGAATATAAATGAAAAGAGACGTGACCGATCGCCCAAGCGGCTAACAAGCCGATCAGTGGCGAAGAGGATAAAAGTAAAAAGTAAAAAGATACAGTACTGTATGACATCTATTCATTGGGAATTTACATGAAACATTTTTCATTGACTTAGGAAGAGTTATTATTTGCTATGAGTGACAGGCAAGTTAACGCTGACACAATTTGGCTGTTGACTCTGCATGTCTCAGGCTATTTATTTCTGCACGTTCTGTAAATTCTGTATATGTTTAGAGAAAGTATGATAATGCAGGGAGCTTATGTAATTTGTGTAGGGTATAAAAAGTACGTATAACATTTTATATGTATACACTACTGTAGCGTAATAATAGTCAAACATATCTTGGTACAATTTAATAACAGGTGATGTACAGATAAATGAAATACATAAATGCATTTCTAAATACTGTAATCTCCTTATACTGCAGGTACTGTACAGTATAGCAAAAATATATAGGAACTTAAGTCGAAAATGTACTTAAGTCGAACCACATACCCTGTGTGCATACAGTACTGCACTTACAGAACAATCTTTAAAACCCCACTTTATCATAGCCTAAGTCCTTATACACATCTCAAATCACTTAATTTAAGAGAAAAAAGAAATAGAATGACAGAATAAAGTAAATGAAAGTAAAAAAGTCATCTGTTAATGTTAGTTGGCAGCTATCAAACAGGGATATAGTACTGCCTTGGATGATATTGGAAGCATAATGTCTTGTCTAATACATGTATTGTATTCCAGGTGATATAAGAAAAGATGGTTCGAGCGTGGTACATGGATGATGGCTCAGAGGACCAGAGGTTGGAGCACCACTTGTCTCCACCCAAGTTTGTCTCGCTGGATGATCTTCATAAAGAGACAGGAGTATTATACCGGAAAGTAAGATTTTTTTCTTCTAATTCGCTGATAGATTTTGAGTTACCCATATGTGAGATAAATTGGGTGCAGAGAATAAGAAATACAGATATAAGGAGGAGATGTGGAAATGAAAGAAGTATTGGTCAGAGGGTAAATCAGTTGTTATGGGCATACTGAAAGATTAGAAAGTGAAAAGTTGGTGAAAACGGTGTAGATTCAGAGGTCGCTAGGTGGAAGGAAGGAGAAGAGAAAAGCAAGCAGGTAGAAGGTTGAAGGGGATGAACATCCAGGAAACAACATTTGCATGCATGTACAGAGCAAGGTGTCAAGTGATGTTTTGGGGAAAAAATATATTTCTGATGGGTGATGGTGACTAGTGTGAAGTGATGGGTAAACCAGATCTGAGGCATTGTGGAAAGAGAACACTATAACAGAACACATCCTTTACAGCAGTAAGAAAGATTAAGTGTCATTGATTGAGGAGGAAATATGTGTGTCTTGTATTTGATCTTGTTTCTTACCACCTTTTATTCTATAATTAAGGGCTTCAGAGTTAGATAAAAATATAAATGATGTGACCTTGGAAATCTGGAACTGTCGGGTCTGAGCATGACATCTTTAGAACATTTTGTTTTTTATGAACAATTACCGGTAGCTCATTCTCCTGTGCCTTCACTTAGCATTTTTACTGAAATTCTCTGAACTTACAACAGTGATGTTCTGTATTCACACGGTTGCCAGTTATATAAGATGAGATATTTGACATGTACAGTAAGTACTTTATACAGTATGTATGAAATAAGTTTTTCTTTTAATTAACAATTAAGAATGTGCTTTAGGGTAAAGAACCTTTTCTGAGTGTGATTAGTTGTTGCTTGATCATTAGTAAACTCCAAATGGTTCCTTTGCTGGTCCACTTGGCCTGGCGCACCTGTCTTGTCATATTGCAAACTTACAGTATGTATTGTACATACCATTCCACACTAATATACAGTATGTGAGCTTAATGGAATATTGTTTACCAGAGCATCAAAGAATAAAGGTACAATGATCCCTCGACCTGCATGAATTCAAAGATAGACAAAGAGTAGGTAATGATAAATCTGTGTTTCAGCTTGACCCAAAAAATTATGAAGGTGAGGGGAAGCTGGAGGAGATTAAGAAAGAGAGAGGCTACTCCTACGCTGATGTCATTCAAGTGTCTCCAGAAAAACTGCATAATTATGAAGAGAAGGTGAGATTTTGTTTTGAGTTCAGGGAACATGTTGACCAATTTCCTTTGAAGGTGCCTTTACAAACACCTATGAGGAGGAAATAAAGGTGACAGTAACTTTTATTTCTGATCATGACTGGTTTGGTTGACAGGCTGTGCCAATAATTGCTAGGTTTTTTTTAATTGTCCTGCAAATGCCTTGCAGGAATTTTGAGTTGCCAAGTCTCATAACTGTCTAAATTTAACATAAAACGTTTTTCAACAGTTGAATCATTTTATCACTTCAATATGTTAGACTCAAACGTTTTGGTCACCCTTTTACCTTAAGTCCAAAACTAGAGGTCATGTGTCAAGTCTTGCTATTATTGTGTGTAAAAATATGTTTTTTTAAGAATGTGCATGTATGTATGTGGCATTGTACAGTGTGGTGGGATGTAATCCGAGACAAGGTTCTTCAAACTCCAGAGCACGAGCAGTAGATATATTCCATAAGTAGTACAAGACTTGGCAGGATAACCAACAGGCAAAAGCAGAAGCAAGCACAAAGGGCTCCTTGTCGTAACCAGGCCTGGGCCGATCTGAGAGAAGTTAGCTAGCTAGGCAGGGAGAGTTGCTAGACATTACTAGGACAATAAATGAGATCTTTTAGTTACTTGACTAGCGCGGTACAGACATAGTACATCGGGACATAGTAAGTAGACATAGGCATTAGACATAAGCATAGATATCAGACATGCTATAATAATATATAGTAATACAGACATGTGAATAAATGGTACAATGAATGGTAACAGAGTCTTGCCGTCAGGCGTGTTCCATGCACACACAATTACAGTGTCACTTGAATTTGTTTTACAACAGCAGAAGAGAAATACCTTGCAGGTAGGAAGCAATGAGAGGAGAGAAGGGGCTAAGCACAGTACGGTATACCTTGGGTCTCTTACTACAGTAATCTCTCAAAGTTCCTGAGCCATGAGCAATCATCAAACCCCCAAAAAATCCACATTAGTAGCATGGTGGATAAAGCAATTCTTGCAAGTAAATAGAAGCATGGGAACATTAGGGAGAAAAGCAAGAGGGCATTTAAATCTTGGTATTGAAAATTTACAGTTAAGGTATTTCTGGATAAGGGAGACTTGTATTTTTGTTTTGTTTTTCATATACTGTATAAATATTTTATGGACTCTTTTTGTGTGTTAATGATTTTACTACTTCATCTCACTTTTCAGATAAAAAATTTCTTTGTGGAACACATTCACACAGATGAAGAAGTCAGGTTTGTTACTGAAGGTTCAGGTTACTTTGATGTGCGAGATAAAGAAGACAAGTGGATAAGGATTGAAGTCATTTCCGGTGACCTGTTAATTTTGCCTGCTGGAATCTATCATCGATTCACTCTCGACTCCAAGGTACATGCAGTATAAATGTTCATATACAAGTCGTGTCTTACCTATTAGTATCTGTTCTAATAGTGTTTGAGAGATGAATTTGTTACCATAATGATCCTGAATAGCTTCTCTACAAGACTATTCCAATAATAGATCCTTAACCCGTAATGCTTAGATGGTTAAAGATTTTCTACATTCTTTTTGTTGGCTAAAATAACCCCAAAGGACCCCTAAAGTCTTGTACGCCAGCATAAATGGTGTATCTGCCGAGGCTATATTCGAAGCTTTCCAGTGTGTTCAAGTTAATGATGATGTTTGTAACATGTTCCATATCGTCCACTATTTCCAAACCAGTGTTTACCTATGTCACGCCTAAATCTAAATTGATCTAATTTAAAATCAATGGTGTGTGTTTTCTCCTGGTTAGACAGATTAAATACCTTTGTTATATTGCCTTTGTATAACCCTGACTTACATTTATACACCTTGATCATATCGCCCTCACTCTTATGTCTCTCGATGGAGTGCAGATTCAGATGCTTTAATCTGTCTCCTTACCCAAGGTTCTTAATGCCTGGGATTAGCCATGTCATCCTCCTCTGAATGCTTTCTAGGGATTTGATATCCATTCTGTAGTATAGTGACTAAAACTGAACTGCATAATCCAAATGAGGTCTCGCATGCATAAGATATGGTTTAAGGATAACCTCGCTAGTCTTGTAACTAACTACTAATCACAGAAATAACAGTAACCCTATTCTGTAAAATACAATGATTCATCATATATTTCAAATACATTTTAGTGTATAAACCACTATTATCATCATCAGATATGTACTAAGCCTTAAATAAATGATTATACAAAGCAGTACCTCCAACTTTTACCAATTTTGTAGGAAAAAAGTGTGGCTTATATTAGTCATAATACAGTATTAAGTGTCAAGTAGTAGTAGCTGGTGGATGGATCACATACAGTACATCAAGTGTTAATTAACTTCAGTAAATCCATTCATTACCTCTCGATGTGACACAAATCAGAATTTTCACATTTGATATTACTTGTATACTGTAGTAAGGTAAACTCAGTAGAATTTTGCTTCAAGCAGTTGTGCAGAGTATTGAATTCTTTGTGTTGTTTTCAGGATTACATCAAGGCAATACGGCTCTTTGTTGGTGAGCCTGTTTGGACACCCTATAACCGCCCCGCTGATGACATGCAGGCTCGTAAGGATTATGTCCTGCAGCGGACAAAGGGATTCACATCAAAGTAAATAGAATTCATGAGAAGAAACTTTCTGTTGTTACTGGTTGAAATGTTTAAAGGAGAACTTTTGTTAATCTTTGTAACTAATGCACAAGTAGACAAGTACTGGTGTTTTTATATAGTAATCCCTGGATATTGAATATAACAAGCATTGAGTCTAGTCACCATGGCATTAAATCCAAATCACATTATATTTCAACTTGTTAGGCTCTTGAATTTACTCTAAGAATTCTCCCCAAATCACCCCGTGGCAAGTTTGCTGCGAGTTTTTTGTTTCAGACCTTCCTCTCTCCAATACCCAGTCACCTCTCACATATAAGCCCGTTATGTGTGACCCTGCTTTGTGTGAATCTTCCTACATGCTACCACAAGGTTAATAATATGAAAATTAAGATACTGTTCATTAGTGCTATGTTACTAAGCTCACCTAATGAAGACCCACCAAAGCCTTACTAGGGAGTTCCTTGGGTTATAGTGAGAGCATCTACTGCTGCTCCACATGCCAAAAGGGTGATCATGTACAATACACTGAATTATCAATTACTGTAATTAAAGGATGGGAGACTTCAGTCCACTGTCAAGCCACACAGTGGATGTTTTCATGTACAGTACTAATGCATAATTATACAAAGGTAATGAAATAAGTTCACATATGATGTTGTGAAAGAAATGTATGTTGTGCAGGAAAAGCTTCCCCGAGCAAGGTAATTTCCTTAATTTTTCATTCTAACTCATAGCCCCTCCCTCTAATTATCCTGTGGTCCTGGCAGGATGTACCATATCCTGTTAATTATCTGCTGACCACAGTACAGTATCTTAAGGAAGGGCTGTAGTAAACTCCCTGTATATCAAAGCAACTTACTGATCAGTGTATTTTATCCAGGGATTACTATACTGTTCTATAATGTACTCACGGTTTTATGGTATATGGGGTATTTGTTATTTTTGTAGAAATTATAGATCTATTTTAAGAATTTCTAGATTATACTAATATGTATATGTGGTTTTTCCAATTTCATTGTTACTACAGGTAGTTCTGCTATAATGCGATAATTGTGTTCTTGTAAAATATCGTGTTGTACAAAATCGCGTAATAGAAATAACAGGGCTTATGGAGAAAATAGGGTGAGGTGCAGATTACTCGAAATCGAAAAAATTTAGTAGTTAGCCTAACACAAAGGATAGCACAGTCTAAATAAATGTTACATTCATATCTAATAATGAATTCATACAGTAAATGTAACACTTTACTTGATGGGGGAGAAGGGTGATTTTGAGGTTGATAAAATCGAGCTTTTCTTCAAGTGTTATATCCTTTCTTTTACGATCATCACCGGGAATTCTATCACCAGAACGCTTCTTGTTGATATTCTTCTTTACTATATTCACAGTTAATACAGTGGGGTATGCTATAACGAACGGATCCTACTACGAATATTCCTATAACGAACGGTTTTACCTATAAAATTGAGAATGCTATAACGAACGAAACTCCTACAACGAACATTATTTAATTTTTTTTTTTTCTAATTTATTGTTTTTTTATTACAAATATTAATGATATTCTTTATTTCAGGGGTTTAGATGCATATTTATGCACTTTTTTACAATTTTTACAATTTTATATTATATTTTTCAGTGTTAAGTGGTTGTATTTGGGGGCCTGGAACGGATTAATCCTATAACGAACGAATGCTATAACGAACAAGGTTCTAGAACCAATTAGATTCGTTATAGCATACCCCACTGTACCACAAAATTGGAGAAATAGTAAGCAAAAATCGCGTTATATCAAACAAGCGTTCGCGTTATACAAATATCGTTCCTAATTCATAAATCGCGTTAGAGCAAATTCGCGTTATCAAAACACGCGTTATAGCAGAACTCACTGTATGTTAAATAGTTTCTGAAAATCTGTTGTATATTTAGATGTATATCATTTTGTTTCTAAGATAATGTAATAAGATATACATAGTAGCTGTCACTTGAGAGTAGCTGGAGAATGTTATGTATGAGTATATATATTATAAACAGTTACATGTTGTACATTTCTACATTATAAGATTCAGTCTCGAAAACTTAAAGATCTTTTTGAGAAAACTTAGTTTCTACTTTTTAATAATGAATTGATGCATTAAGTAGAATTTTGAGAATACTGATGGAAAGCTGCAATAAAAAAATATTTTCAAGCTATATTGTTTTGAAGTGCTCAGTTAATATGTAAAGTTTCAGATGTAGTTACAGAATCTTGGTCAGGAAAAATATATTATAAATTTTGATACCACTAACTTTGAGAGAGGCCCAGCAGATGCACAAAGGTCTTGCCCCCTGTTGAATTGCATGATACACGATGTGAATCACTGTCTATTCACCATATCTTTTGAGTCAGTCCATGGGATTTCAGTATCTCCTTACCATGACTTCTACAGTTTTATCCATATTTTTGGGGTCATTGTTATATGAGTATTGGTACAAATTTGAAGTACAGTACAGTATTGTAATATGTGATGTGTTTTTGACAAGTTAGCAGCCAATACAAAAATATGATTTCATTATTAGATTTTTTAGCTTATATTCTCCATGAGTTATGTGGTGGTGTAATTATCCAAAAGTCTGTCTCCAAGGTAAATACTCAAAACAAACTTTTATCTGAATGATCCTTAGAATGTCATCTGTCCCATTTTGAAAAGTCATAGTGCAGTATCAGTGTTTATTTTCTTATTGAAATCCATCCATAAATTTGGCATAAGCTGTGCCTCCTTAAAAAGGTCAACCAAATTGAATATTGTTTAAATGTAAAATATCCAGGATAAATACTGTACTCTGCATACAACTCGGGAAGCTGAGTAATGCGAGCACTTTTGGTAATGGCTGCCATGTCTAAAGTGACCCAGATGGCTAAAAAGATCAACTTAAACACTGTATTCAAGATCCAAAAAATATTAGCAGAATATTTAAGGAGAATTAGAGAGGATATTTTACAGGTATATATGTTGATAACCCATAGTCTGTCAGTGTGATGATACAATGATAATGCATATACTGTACACTATTCTGATTTTTATATTGTTTTGGAACTTATGAATTGAGACAGATTGCAGAATACAGTATGTACAAAATGCCCTCAGACAATCATTTTCTCATAGAAGTATACTCATAGACCAGTAACCTAGACACAAGGCAAAAAACCTAGAAAATAAGATTAATAGAGCTATGATATTTTACACTTTTATAAAGCTTCTCTGGAGATTACTTGTATTTTAGATCATTTGCACTCAGTAGATATGAGTATTTGCACTTTTTAAAGCACAGAAGTACCTAATGTGTAGTTTTATTCCCTCTGAGAATTACCCATGCATGCCACCACCTTACCTCCCCATATACAGTACAGTACAGGTACTGATATAATGTTAACTTGTGAATTTTCAGTTTGTGTTTGCCAGGTGAACTTCTCATGGCCCTTCTTTATACCATACACTGTCTTTGATTCAGGAATGCTTGGGCCATATTTTTTCCAGCTAGTTTACCACTGGTGATGAAGTGTTTGTGTTACATCTTTGTACTTATCATGTTGTGTTCTCACTCATGACAACAAGACCTCCAGGCTATCATGCTTAATAGTACTATACGCCCTTAACCTCTTCCATTCCCCTTTTAGAATGTTGTCCACCTGCCTTATTACCTCTTTTATATCACTGTTCTTAGTCTTGGACATAGTAATTGTTGTGGATGTTAGATATTTTAATGGCATTGTTTTGGTATTGTACCTTTGTGGCAGCTATTATGAATATTATGATAGTCAAGAGTGATACTATATCACTATGCATTATATATATATATATATATATATATATATATATATATATATATATATATATATATATATATATATATATATATATATATATATATATATATATATATATATATATATATATATATATATATATATATATATATATATATATATATATATATATATATATATATATATATATATATATATATATATATATATATATAAACTTAGTGATCTAAACAGAGGCTTTCCAGCCAGTTCTCTTGATGTCACAGGAGAAGGAGCATGGTATATACAGTACATACCAGTACTGAGAATTATTCTACTATGCTTACCAAGGAACCCATCCAGTTTTAGCCTAATGTGTAAATTATGAACAAATTATATTGAAATTATTATTTTTTCAATAATCAGGAGGATTAATGTGAAGTATTTCATTACTGGAATGTATTTCAAATTGAAACAATAGTTGATACAGTACTGTAATAATTTCCCTTCCTATTTCAAAGTACCTGGTATTTCCCTCCCCTTTAGTTTGAAATACCTGTACAATAACGAGGTTCTACTGTATATGGGTGTGAATCACGGATGCTAGATAAAAAGAGAAAGAAGCTGTTAATTTTGACCTTTGTGCAGCACTGCAGGAATATGCTTGCAAAAAAGAAGTTAAATCTTGCCAAAGCATTATTACTGTATAATCTCTTTGTACCTGAGAATGTGTGCATACTGTGCAACACATTGCCATCATGTTAGGTTGGGGGGTCAGTAATATAACTGAAAAGAACTTGTCACTTTGTAAGGCTTCTCCGTTACAAAAATAAGGATGGCATGGTATCATCTTATCCATACTGGTTTTAAAGCTTGGATATTGTGTTTTGGTCCAGTAATTGTTAAGTTTAGCCTGAATGTTGTTTGAGACAGCTATTTTGATGTAATTGAGAGTGCTAGATTACTGTACAGGAAATGTCTGCTTTGGATGTTTGAGAAGTACAAAAAGCTGCAGCTGCCAGTGGTTTGGTAACACCTTTTAAAATAATCCATCCCAATGTGCCAATTTTTAATTACAAATTCTGTTTGTGGGAGCTTCTCTGTTGATATTGTTGATGTTTTTTTTTATGCTAGAACACCCCATCTTGAGGGCTGATGTCTTTAAATCTGCCTTAAACATTTCACCCACTAACTAATTCCACTCTGATATGTTGAACACTTTTACAGGAAGAACTAAAAAACATGCTTAATGTTTTTTATTTTGTGCTGGTTTGGGTATACTTACAGTAGATTTAAGCTTGAGAAATTCCAGATTGTTTTATAGATTTAATTTTTTTCCAATAAACTATACTATGTATACTAATCTTAACATGCTAGGAATTTGAAGTGATAATAAAAATTGCCACAGTGGCAGATTTTAAGAACTTGAAAGTAAGATGATAGTAATACACAAACAGGGTATTTAGAAACTTAGGAATCTTGTTCCCTGATACATGATTATGAAATGATTGATTAGGCTTAAGGATGTTTTGTATTTACGAGTCGAGCATCTGGCGTGGCTGGTCTCACAGCCTATGAAAGGGGTTGAGCACTGTCAGGTGTATAAATTTCATATTAACAAATATGTCATAGTCACAGCTGGAATGCTGAGAATTCAGCATAATGTAAAAAAAAAAAGTCCCATTAGCCCTGAAACTCCAAAATTTAAGGCCACCGAATGCCCTTGTAACAATATTAGTAATGCTGTATGTGTTGATAATGTTATTGTATAGCTGAATGGTGCAGTGCTTGTCTTGTAACCATTAGTCCTGGGTTTCATTCCCAGCTGGTGTGGAGAACTGAGTTTACTCCATAAATGCTAAACTTTGCACACACACACACACACACACACACACACACACACACACACACACATATAATGCAATAAAACTATCACACACTCAGATGAGCTTGTTGATGGCAGAACAACCCTGCCAGTCGGGGTAAGGTAATCCACTAGCTACAGAGGATTAACCCCTTTTTGGGCACCCTGCCTCACAAGAGGAAAATTCTTTGCATGTGGAAAATATAGTAGTGACACTGAGAATAGGATCATTATTACTGTATATAGAGAACACTGCTTAAAAGACCCACAACAGTAGTAGTTTAAGTTCATACAGTAACAGAGTCCACACATAACAAGAAATAGTACTGTACGTACTGTAGTCTAACAGCAGACAGAGACAGATATGGAAAGTCATTCCTATTGTGAATCGTGGAAGTCGAGAATGTATTAGTTTTTCTTAGTGTTACAGTCAGTACATTTTAAGAGCTGTAAACACATACTTGCGCCTTTTTGTTCTTCCAATGATTTCGTTAAC